AATTACCTCTCTCTGAACACAAATTTTGCACTTAAACTTCAAGGAAAATGTTGAAAAGATGATGCGATAACGTTTACAGCACATTTGAGAGTAACTATGAAACGTTGAACAAGATATAAGCAAGAAGTAGTTTTGGCCGCCATGTTGGAGGGCAAGAGTATGCCCTCCAACATGGTGGCCAATACAAATCATACTACTTTGCTGAAAAATCAAAGTGCCACAAAATATCTCCCTTAAATGCGTTTCCTCTCAAATTTCGCGTGTAAGATAATTTTTGTGTGCTCTAACAATTTTTGGCATCAGCAAGATTCCAACTCATTGTTTAATAACAGGCACTGGCAGAGAAATCGAAGCAAATTAGAAGTACAGTATCAGCTGCATGTTTTGTCATTGTTATAGTGTCTTTTCGCTCACCTGAAATCAAGGCAATCCGAAGTCCAATGTGGTAAAGCAGTGTCGCAAAGTAATTTACCAACCGCAAATTCTAACGGCCCCAAAAAGCTAAACAATGACCATATTGCTGCTATGGTTACGTGTGGCGTCATAAACACTATGCCAGTGCATGCGCGAGCTGCAACCGTCCCTGACTCGTCCCCAGTCGTGTCCAAGTTGTCTCTACTCATTAATTATTTACTAGGGAAGCGCTTAGGTTATGCGCGCGGGGGCCCGTTCTAGTCTTCCACGCCAAATACTAATAATGATAGACGTCTAGGGATGTTTTTTAGCCAATTTTCTACCGTACATTTACCATGGGTATCTAAAACTACATAAAAAGTGAGAAAGAAATGCAAGAATGACCTTGCATTTCCTTGAAAATAATCTTGATGAGCATTAACACTCACCGTTCACTCACTCACTCACCTGGCAGCACTGGAGCTCTCTGGGGCCTCCAGAAAGCTTTTTTCGCAGGTTATATGAGCATGCCTCTCAAAGTTACATGGTTATTTTGACGCACATGGGCATCAAGGCTTAGGTATCGATAAAGCTTAGGGAAACCTTTGCTTCAATGTAATGATCCCGAGCCAGGGCGCATAATGCAAAAACGCTTGTAAAAAAAAATCCTAGTATACACTCGATGTGACATTTTGTTCCACTTTTCGCGCAACGTTCCCTACCCGATTACGGCACTTATGTAGTAAAGCGGAAAAAGAAAGAAACAAAATCAATAGTTTTCGTCAGGGTTTGCTGTAAAACCTCGATCAAGTTGGATACAGAATGCAACTTTGTAGTTGTGTGTATGTTGCATCAAGTGTTAGCGCCTTAGAGCGGTTTTCATTTGAGTGTCGAAAGGTAATTGGTTTTGCGTTTACTACGCTACGTGATTGGCTTAAAAGATTCGCGCCACTTTTTTATCCAGTCAGAAGGAAAACCAAAACCAATTGTGTCACGCTCGCATGCATTTTCCCGCGCTTTGCGTCAGCTACATGTAATTACTTCGAGTTTTAATTGGTTCACTGTTTTGTCTGTGTCCTTTGTGATTGGCTAGAGTAATTACTTTGGTTTTGGTCTTACGATACTCAAATGAAAACCGCTCTAACTGTGGACTTACGGTCACCTCGTTATTACGACCACTTTTTTTTAGCTGCCCGACAAAAACGACCATACATTTTCTTGTAAAGAAACCCTCCTTAATACGGTTACCTCATTATTACGGCCAAATTTTTTTGGCCCTTTGGTGACCGTATTAACGGGGTTCCACTTTAGTTGAGGTAAAAATGAACATCTTGATAAATACGTCTGAATGCAATGCGTGAAAGAATTCGGTTGCTTGAAAACTTATCTGCTACCATGGAAACCTTGAATAAATTGAGTACAATCCTTTAGAGATGAGATTTCCGAGATCGGTTGAGAACCAATAAGATGCAACCAATAAGACACATGTACTACCGACTACTAAATCACGAATGGGGCACTCGGTTATTTAACCCATTCGCCCCTGAACCGCCCGTAACCGCCCGTGCGGATCCAGGACCTTTCTACCCTTTGTGACGTCATCAGTTTTAACGGTCAAGGACAACTTTCTTCGCTAACTTGTGCAGAGTGAAGAGATCTTTCAAACCATACCAGAATGAGCACAATTCAGTCAAGGACACCGGAGAAAGAAGCAAAAAACCACGTGACATTGACCTGAAAATCTCCATGAAAATCTTGTTCCATTACCCACCTACCTTTCCTTTCACCTAATCCTAAGATCCTAAAAGCTTTCCTAAAAACTCTTCCCACCAAATTGAAGCCTACTAAATGCCCAGAAAGAGCAAAAAAATGAGGCAAGAAAAGCGAAAAAAGAAGGGAGGAGAGAAATTTTGCTTTCTGCGCATGCCCGAACTTCGCAAGCTGATATTTTGCATCTGGATCAGAAGGCCGCGAAGTGTACTTCCTGTAAACCGGTTTGTGGTAAGTTTTAGCTCTTTGTAGCACGACAGTGACCAGAAAACCACTCGACTAGCTTCAAAACGCGTTTTTCGGCAAAATCTCCAGGAGCGAATGGGTTAACAAGGAGGCAACGTGGCCGAGTGGTCGGCGCGTCGGACTCACGATCCGGTGGTTCCGGGTTCGAGTCCCGCTCTATTTGTTCTCGGTCTCGAGTTCAAATCCTGGGTAGCCTGCGTAGCAGGCGCTTGGAAGTAGTGGGCACGAGAAAAAACGGGCGCGCGAGAAGGAGACACTCGTGTCTCCCTTGCGCGCGCCCGTTCTCCCTTTCGACCACTTCTTCCAAGCACCTGCTACGCAGGCTAAATCCTCGGCCACACCTTTAAAATAGCCAACAGGTTGCCTACTGCCAGTTGGGCTTTGTTATAATCCTGTTATGTTGTATTTGAATAGACCTTTTTATCGATACGACGGCCATATTGAATTAATTAGATTTAAGGAGTATTATGGGATGCCTAAGGGGCATGAGCTCGATTCGACATACTCGCTCAGTATTTACGCGCCCTTTAATTTTCGGGCCAATTTTTCTTAAATTTTTCCTAGAAAGATATTGTAATGGGAGAAAAGATCGTTGTGCCGCGTTGGATGTAATAATGATCGCCTTTTTCCCGAGAAATATAGTGAAGTTCTCTTTTTGCCTGAAAAGCGCGCGTAAATACTGAGCGAGTGCCCCTCTTGCATCCCATAATACTCCTTAAATCTAATTTATTCAAAATGGCCGCCGTATCGGTAAAAAGGTCTATTATAAACAAGCCTTTAAACCTTTCTTTTTTATAGGAAACACTCTTTAGAGCGATCTGATTAAAACAAGTAGTAACCTTGCGGTTGTATCCACATACTGAGAGAATAGAAGAAAATATGCCTTTTTATTAGTACTAAACATAAATTGCTATTTTTTTTTTAAATGACTTTCTCTACATCATATCAAATATGAAAATAAAGAGTTGTACAAATTTTTACCAGTAGATACGCTTCTATATAAGAGATTATAAACTATAGGAACGTCACTAGGTAACAATTAAATACTTAAAAAAATATAAAAAATGATCTTGTTCCCGGAGGCAAAATAATGTCTATTTTTTCTGCTCCTTGAACATCGCTCACTAGCAATTGCCTATATGAAATGTTCAGTAAAATAAATGCTTTATTTAATTCGTGCTATAGATACTTTGTATATAAAAGCTCCTTACAGAAGCACAATGTTGCCAAGATTCTCCCTTTTTATCTGTGGAGACCTTTGAAGTTTTCTTATTTGACGAGTAGTCTCTCATTTATCTCTGCAGCTAGAGACGATCAAACGTGCATGCAAAACAAGTGTGCCGAAAACCAGCCAAACTCGAAAAGATAATTTTCTGGCAAATTTGCAGCGAACGGGAAAAAAACGTGTTTTTATTTGAGGTTATTTTTTTGTGCGCGCTTATGTAATAGCTCCCTCCATTAAAACCGAGACAGGAGAAATGAGGAATTCATCAAAGTCTAACTTGCTCTAGACATGTCTTCATTGAAGGCAAAGTTTTCGGTAAACAATAAACTCAGGTGAGTAAGCCGTGTCACTGTTGGGCGATGACGGACTGCTCTATGTACGATGATTACCAGCGCAAAAAATTCACTTTTTAAGCACCTAGAAAACTTCTAGCGTATAAAAAAGGACTAAAAGAACAAATAATTTCTTTGGAACAAAGGCTCTTCATAACATGTTGCTACCTCTTTACGTGAATGTTTCCTCATCAACTGTTACAAAGAAGGATCGAATGTAGGTTATAGAATCCAAAAAGAGCATCTTTCGGTGTTTGAACGCAAATACCCATCAAAGGCCCTAGAGCGGGCGGAATCGTTCATGTCCCCACCACTCCTCCCCTGGTGTCTTGTACTCGGCACTCACACGTCACTTCAGGATATTGCCAAAGGTAGTAGATAAGAGGAATAAACATACAGTCTGAACCTCGATAACTCGAACTTAATTTCCTTTTCCTTGATCAAAATTTCACTGGAATTTACCCCGATAACTCGAATTCCCCACTACCTCAAACTGTTTTTCGTTTCCCTTCAGAGTTTGAGTTACCGGGGTTCTACTGTAATTCGTTCCAATCACTCTCGTAATGGCAAAAAAGCCTTCAAATATATATATATTTTTATAAAGAACTTCTCCGAAAGCAGAGACGGGTCTTGCATCTTCTCAACGCCCACAATGACCCACTAATATTTCGTTCTTGCTTGCGCTTTACTACACTACGATCCTGGCGTCTTCTTTTCCTCGAAACCTGACGCAAACATTCTACTATGTTTAGTTATAAATTTTTGTACTGCTCTAACTTCTAACTACCCTGCGAGCAGAGGCTACATTTTCGCGGTATGAGCTGGCGTGCGAACTTTTCGCACGCCAGCTCATACCGCGAAAATGTAGCCTCTGCTCGCAGGGTAACTTCTAACCTGAAGAACAGGTTCTTTTACGGTGCACAAGCATGTAGTGTGAGACTAAGGAGGGTGCTACGTAACTCCTATTTAGCTGTATCCACCTTTCTAATTTTTTCTACGACTGATGCTCAGAATTCTGTGTGTAGAATGCTATGTTAATCAGATTCTGTAGAATCAAGCTCCTGTAAGAAAGCCTTTAGCTGCTGGAACGCAGAACCTGATCGCACTGGAAAAGCATCAGGTTCTTGCTCGTTCCCATTGGTTTTTTGATAACTTATCCCATTTTCCTCGTCCTCCTTTGCTGTTTCTTCCAAGAATCGCTTTATTTCATATATAGCATGACCTTCAGCTACAGACTTGGCAGGCAACGAAGGTGCAGTCTCCTCGGGGGTAGGCACGGGAGAAAGTTCTTCCACTTCCTCGTTTTCTCCTTCTGTGATCATTGACAGACCGCGCACGGACGGTTTTTTCTTTCTACTGCGATCCCTTGTCACGGTGCTATAAAGCGAAGTCTGTTCTTGCTTTTCAGCATCTGTATCTGCGGGTATCTGTGGAGCAGCTGGTTCTTCCTGCCCGGTACTTCCTTCCTCAAGCGGCTTGGGGCTTTCCTGCCGTTGAACATCCTGGACCAAATCATAAAGCCCTTCGGCGTTTTCAACCGTGTTTTTCTTCGAAGACTGGACCATTTCGTAAGTGGGAGGGGCGGATTTTGATGGAGGCCTCGAACCAACTAGCTCGTACATTACAGCGTCATCTTTATCTCTTTGTGCTCTCGGTAGCGTTGCAGGACCAACTAAACCGTACTCTCCTTGTCCTTGAGAAGACGCTCCACGCTGGTTACCGGGCTCGCTTACACTCGAGTACAAGAGGTCGGCTGCATCAAACTCATCCAAGCTGTGATCAGTACTGAGACTGCGCAGTGAACGACTTGAAACTTCTTCGTACTGCGAAGAAATGGGATCTTGACAGCTAAAATCGCCGTAAAGAAAAGAGATCATGTTTTCAGATATAAGAGAGAGCACGTAAGGAAAGAAGCTAATCGCTTAATTTTTGAAAAGTGATAAAAATAAGTGCATGGCATACACAGGCCTCATCCATGATCAAGTGGACAAAAGTTAAGAAAGTGTTCGTCTAACTACGTATTTCACTCGAAGTACTGATTAAGATAGGTCACTGATTTTACATCCAGTGCTTGAGAAGTTAATGATTTAGCAACAGAACGGGAACGCCATTTGACGACGGGGAAGCGTGAGGAAAGGACGAAACTCGACTTCCAGTGCCCAATTTGCCGCTCTGCCATTGGTCAAGCCAGTTGTTTGATTTGCGCGCGCCGTCGTCAACTGACGTAACCTGAGATCAGGCCCAATTTGAGCGGTTCTCATACATTCTCTCTAATGGCTTCGCCATGCTCGCCGGAATGTTATTTACAAAGCGAAACGAAAATAGAGCTTGATCTCAGGTTACAACTGACGTTCCCTTTCTGTTGCTAAAACAGCCTAAAGCCACCATTTCTACGTGGTCACCCGAAACCTGAGTTAAAGGTGTAGCCATTTGTATCTGATGATACATTATTTTTGTCGACTCTTTTGTGTTTCTGAATAAAATGACTCTAAAAAGAAAACACTACAAAGAACGGTTGCAAGTGAAGGCTTAGCCGCATCTGCTCTCTGTCTCATATAGACTCTCACGCAGACGTTGTTAGGAGTTCTCCACGCGTTCCTGCTTCGTAGGGCGGAACGCGTCAGTGACGCGTAACGAACCCTAAGAACGTCTGAAGAATGTCTCACACGCAGACAAATTAAAAAGAAAGCCTTTTCACCTCAAACTACGGTTGCGTTTTTCTATGGATTTCAGTTGCATGGCTTGCCTCAGCACACTCACCCAGTCTGTGAGTAATTCTGGTGTGGGAGCAGACTGTAACAGAAAAACATTCTTAAGCAAAGTTCACTTCTATTTCAGGAACCACTCTTGACATAAAACATAACAATTCACTAATTCTCTGAGAATCGCACCGAAAGCTCACTTGAGAATAAATTTTGTGAATTTATAAAAATAAAAATGACGATAAAGCCACTTATCGCTAAAGAAACTGGATTGCACTATATATTCTCTGAGCGTCTGTCTAATTGCTTATATTACTCGTATGACTTATTTGCATACTTTTTGCGATACTAAAAAGATTTCGACCTCGTTCTCTTTAGTTGAATGTGTCAATTAGAGCTCCAGAACTCCTACGAATCTCAAATGAAGGCTTATAACGGTGCGTTATAAGAATAACATAACCTAAACGATCTGATAGACGCCGGGGCGTTTTGGGGGTCCAAGATAGGAGGCAGGGGGCACCCATCGTCAATTTTCGGAAAATATCTGTTCGGAAGGCGATTTGAGATCTAGAATTTACGGAACATTTGTTGTAAAATATTTTCTTGCTTGCGCGTGTTCTCCTAGGATTTTCGAACATCTAAAAAAAGTATAATTGCGTATTTGTAACGAACTTTTACGCTAAAAAGGTCACCTACAATTTTCGGGAGCCTTTTTTCTGCCTGAAATTTTCGAAAAGGTAAGTTTTGATCCCTATAATTTTCGGATCACTAGACTTTCAGCTAGGAAATCCGAACAGATGAAAAATTTTTAGGGGATAAATGTTTATGTGGTTTTAATCTATATTCTCGTTGGGTGCCCCTCAGGAGGCGTTCAAAAGAGAGAAGCGTTTATTTTCATTACTGTAATAAGCTTAACAAAACTAATATCTGTAATATGCCTTGGGGCGAAATATCAAGAGATTTTAATCCAGTCCGTTAATTGATACAGCTAGGTCGTCTAGAGGTCCGGCATATCGTCCTTTCAATCTCAACATCGATGTCAGAATCCTCAGCATCCTTATTCAGTTTCATTGTGTTGTCATCGTTTAAGCCTATTGTTACTTGTTACTCAAGCCAAAAAGTGAATAAATTAAATGATTTTACTCCTTTTTGATAATTCCTAGTTTTTTGGAGTTATTGTCAATAGGGGGCGGCTATCAGACAGGTGGGCGTTTTATTAGAGAGGGGTGTCTAATATAAACTTAACATTGTAGAGGGGGCGTTCAATGTGATTAGATAATAGGCGTCTATATGAGAGTGGGCGTAAATTAGATCATTTACGGTATTAGTCTAACTTACAAAAGTGTACGTCCTGCTCTTGGTAACTATCTGAAATCCATTGTTCACCATTTTGACAGGATTAACTGCTTTAACCTAATTCCAAAAAAAAAAATAAAGAAATGGAAAAAGTGAATTATAAAAACATTAAAGACATTACCCATCAGGAACGCGTGACGCACCCCTAAGAGTGTCTGTGGGGGAGGCTAATTCTGGAAAACATCTATCATAGTGGTCAATTACGTCATACATCCCCGGGTATTCATAGATGTGCGTATAAGAATTCATAAAAAATTACACTGATAAAATACGTCTGAGTTTCTTACTAACAAAGACAAATCACCTGGCTAAAATCGATGTGTCCAAGGTAATTTTCTTCCTGTCAAAAAAAAAAAAAAGACAAAGAATACAAATAATTTAAAGATACATCGCGTAGTTTAGTGTTGAACATGATCCAATTGTGGGCAATTTTTCTAGTGATGAACGCGTCCTAAATATATCTCGCGTATTTTTGATTGCCTGTACAACTGTGTAGACTACTCGTAACTTAAATTCAAAGTTGGAGGGATACTTGGTGTGGTCAGGGTATCCTAGGGTGCACGCAAGCCCTCTAACAAGGACAAATTGTAGTAGTAAAACAATCAGGCCATCACTCTGTAGTCTGAATGAAACCTACAATAGGTTTAAAAAGTTTCAAAAAGCTGTGGTAATGCGTTGGTGGGCGAATAAAACACAAATGAAATATCGTTTTATCAACTGATTCTAAATTAAAAGTCCATGTGCCACCATAAGAATATTGAAAAAATGACATTGCGAGCATTCTAACAAAGGATGAGTGCTCATGAGAACCATTAATGTCAGCTTTTCAATCTTTCTATTCAGCTTACACTATATGACTAATCAACATGCTAGACTTTCTCTTTCCATGAATTTTTCAAAAGCTGTAGGAGTGCAGGGTGGTGGACTGGTTTGCTCCCATTTTCTAATGGACTCTGTCATAAGATCCTCCTTATTGAAAAATCCCGCCTAGAGCTGACCAGGGAGCTGTCCTAGTTAGTTTTATAAGGCATGAAGCAATAAAGTAACAACTTTTAATGTGCCTTTAATATTTGAATTAGCTGCAGTTTGTTGGGAACTTTAGTTCTGGCATTTAAAATCAAGCCCGAAAAAAAGAAAGATAAACAATCTTGGAGACCCAGGGGTACAAATTATTAGTATATTTAATAATCTGCCTAATGAATTCAACGTTGATTAGAGAGATGTGTGTCATGGGTCGTGCATTGGTAGCCATGGCAGCCTGATGCAAAAAAACAAAAAATAAATGCCTGCAGTTCAAGAAGGCACGTAGTTGACATGTATAATGTAGTAACATCCTGAATACCCTAAGTGACACTAAACGCAAGATGACAAGCATTAACTCCCTCAATATGGGAGTACCCCCTGGCCATAAAGGATTCTCTAGCAAGATACTAATTTCTTATTCTTAATTCAACATTAAGTTATGTTTATCACATACCGTTTTCTCAGGAGCCTTATAGTATGTCAAGTCCTGTCCATCTAGAGTGAACCATCTTTTTCTAAAACCCTTGATATAACAGACAATAATGATAAAATGTTTTATATTTGCTAAGGAAGTGTTAATATTCCCAAATATGTGCAGAAAAGTCTACTGAAAAGTGAGCACATTTTGTCCAGCCTGCTGCTCCAGGCAATAATGGGATCCTTACTTTGTGATTTAGCACAGAAAGGAGCTGACTAGATCACCTCCTTATCAAAACTCCAGTGAAGGTTAATTAGATCTGTTGAGGAACAATTTACTGGTGCAAGCACTTTGAATGATATTACTTGATTCCAAACTATATTTGTCACAGAAATATTGAACTACATTTTTTTAAAAAAGGAGCACTTCAATTGTGAACATATCTTTACTAAATTAATGCAACAACATATCTATTTTCTGTTTTCCAAGCACAGGCGTGGGGGGGATGCCTTAAAATATTGGCCTATAAGGGGTTCTGGCTCCACCCAAAAGAGGTGCCTTTTTCAGGCCTTAGGCATATGAACTGGTAGCCATTAAACACATTAAAGGGGTTGGAACTTGCGACAAAACCTCCCCCACATAAGACTTTAGTGAGGACCCTAGTCCTCACCCCCTGGGGTGAGGACTAGGGTGCAACACACTTAAAGTATGTAAAGCCAAACCTTTAGTTTGCATATTACCCCATGAGGCAAGTGCAGTAAGTGGAGGGAGGAAGGAATGAGGTATTAGGGAGAGGGATGACCCTTTACATAGACTTTTTGGCTCGAAGCTATAGCTAGAGCCTTGAATGTTTTGTTTTCCCAGTTCAGACCAGCAAAAGAATTTGCCTTTTTGTCTTTTCAAAAATCATGCATTCAAGTGCATGTGGATAGGGCAAATAGTGTGAAGTAGAAAAACCTTACTAAGGTCTATTAGCAAAGATCATTTTTTTATTTCTGCGGACGCTGCAGTGACTACAAACTTCAAATACCTTGTGTTATTTGCTGATTATGATATGAGTCAGTTAATTATGTGTAGATAAATGATAAAACCACAAATATGGCCTTGTTGTTTGGGGACAATTCTGATAAGCAACATGGCCTTGAAACAACAACATACAGTGCTGTCAACTCTGGCGGATAATCGCCAAAATTTGCCATTTCTTGTAGACTCGACTCTCTGACAATGAAATTTCAAATATTTTGTGCTGTTTGAGCTTTTTTATTTTATTTTATTTTTTGTTTTTTTTTTAGCTTTTTTATTAACATTGAACATTTTCTCAGAAACTATGGTACGCCATTGAAATATAAGCAATAACGTGACTGGTGGCAAGTTAACCAATCAGGTCAAATGTCACAATTTTCGCCCGTTTTTGGAGAAATGACGTCATGTGTTGTGCATTTCTGACGTCATCTGCCAATTCTCAATATTTGAAAACTTAAGGGGTTGACAGCCCTGAACATAAGACAGATGAAATGACAACAAATGACAAACATGCAGATAAGTTAAAGCTGCACTGCAACAATGATGAAGACAAGCGGAGATACATTTTTAGTAAAATACACTGAGCGGGGCATGACTTCCTTCTCAATAACATCCAGCTTTAAAATTCAGACCAGAGGTATGTGTACCACCCCCTCCCCCCTCCTTACACAATTAAGAGGACATCACAAGTGAGATGGAAGTTAGAGCAGGAGAATGGTTTAGCAAAGTATTGGTGTTTCAGGTGTTTGCTGAATAAAAAATATGCCTACTAAATTACCTTAAAGTGCTTCTATATTAAAATGCCTTATGGATAAAATATAAAGCCAAATGGATCCTTTATAAAAAGCTTACAATATGTGCACACTAGCCTTACACACCCATTATAATGTCTATTCAATATATACCTGAAAATTTTATTATGAAGCAAATTTCATAATACTGTTGTGTAGGTAAACGGATTAAAATGTGTTCGGATGTATTTTAGCCGTCAGGGCAGCCGGTCACTCTCACTATACAACACAAACCAAGCATATCCTTTGGGGGAGGGGGAGGGGAAGGACATATAGGCATACGAAGCGGAAGTCGTTGAGGAGTATGTAAACAGTGTTAATTTCTTTGAGCGGCAATTAAATGATGATCGAACTCCAACTTTCATAAAGTGAATGACCTTAATAGCCAAGTAGATCAAGCGTAAACCAAGAAAAATAGAGCAATCATTCACTAACTGTATCATACATTCAATCGAAAGCTAAATGGCGACATATATTGCTTCAGCGAAAGTTGTTTCGATATTATATTTCAAATACTTTTCTTTAAAAACCTTTATATGCCTTGCGAGAGAAAATTACTTAATAATTATGTTATTATGTGTTCTTAATGTGTATTTACAGAAACAAATATGCCTACTAGCTTCTTTAGCAATATGGAAATGTACCTCACAAAGATGCCCGGGTGCGCCCGTGTGTGTATCCAATTTCGTTCCCTTCTTCAACCACTTTTGGCCTAAAATGTCTTAGCTGACTTCCTTAGTTGTTTTTTTTTACGCAGCCTGTACATTGATTTCAGTCTAGCAAGTATGATATTAAACATGTTTTGGTTTAGCGCTGTAAATTAAGTTTTGTTATGGAATGCAGATGAACACATACCTCGAAGAACCTTTTTCCAGCCTTGTCGAGTACCCCTTCAAAATGAAGTCGTGCGTCGCTCGAAGTAGACATTATTAACGGAGGATTTTTTAATCCAGGAGTTAATCATCTAGTCTTGATGGTACAAGTTTTGCGCTCTTTTGATCAAGTTTGCGGTTGTTCACAACCAGTGAAAATCGACAACCGTGACCCGGAAACTGCTGGAGAATATGAGCTTTCGTGGGAAGGATCGCGGAAGTGTTTACGAAGATTTCACGAACATTGTCGAGACTACGTGGCCTTCGCCGAAGACGAGCGATGGAGGATGCGCACTTGACTTGATCGGAACACTGACAAAGAGGAGGGAAAATTTAGTTGTCGGAATGGGAGGTTCAGACAGCAAACTAAATTTTAGGAAGGCTGTTGTTCAACTAACGACAAAAAAGACGGTAAGGCAAAATGTCATGATACGTTTCGCGACGAATCTTTTCAAATTTTCCATCGCTAGTTCGGAGTATTGTCGTTTGCACCTGATCAATTGCTTGGTCAGTGGTCGCGAACTGTCTACACTGATTTTGTTTTTAGGCTGTTGAAGCAACCGATGACACGTTTTGGGAGCAATTTTGGTCAGAGTCATCGGCGAATATAAGTGATGTCTTTACTTTAATTCCTGGCTCAGAAATAAGATCTTTGCGAGACGAAAATCCGTCAAATTTGGCAACACTATGTTATAAGGTGAGTGGAAAATACTGTACTTACGCTAAGCGCTTTGTCAACGTTCAAAATTCGTACAAACTACTAAAAGCTTCCAAGATTCCTTATTGCATGATTTTAAATTTATCTCTATGATTAATTAATTTTCTTTTGTCTCAAACAGCAATAGAACAGTAGAAAGTATGACTTCGTCATGCTTAAAATATTATTAGAGCGCTCGTATAATAATAAGCTAGCTTAAATTTTTATAAACTAAACCTGAATTTTTTGCACTTGATATGATTGACCAGACAACAAGAAAGAATCTCTTGTTTAGACGAAGTAATAGTAATGTCTTGAAAATTAGTCATCAGGAAGTGAAGTATTATAGCCATAAAAATAATTTTATGTAGCTGAAAGACTCAAGGAGTTAAAAGTTTTTTGAAATCCGCTGCAAGAAGTATCTGATAAACCAAAACACTGAGTCTGTGCAGGTGTACAATGATTTTTCTTATCTTTGGAGCTTCGGTGGAATTAAGAGCTGCCACTTAAGTTATTCTGCGAAAGTGACCAATAAATGTATTGATAATTATTGTTCTTTCTCATGATTTTCACTTACTCAACTGAATATTTTAGCAGAACTGATCTTTTGAAACATAAATAATTTACATGCTCCCACTTTAGATTTGCCCTGTTTAGAATAGTTAATTAATGTTTTAATTTTTTTCCTTGTGAAATATTATTTTGAAGTTCATATTTGTTTCACCTCCTAATGTGACATTTATTTATTTATTTTACATATATTTGTCATTCATATTTGCAAAATATGGCTAGTAAGCCTCTCAAATCATAAAATGTTGTTAAAATTTCTGTGCAGCCCAAGGATTTATTATGCAGACATTGTGTACTTCACACTTCATTTATGATGGTTATTTTTTATATCATCACTATGGTATTGCTATGGTCATGAGGATTGCTGAATGGAAAAATCAACTATTACAGGGAATATATGGAAATGACAATTATTTCAGTCACTGAGATAGATGTTAGTTCTATCTTAGGGTTAGTTTTCGTATGAAGGGTACAAAGAAAATATATTTTCCAGCTTCCCCTTCTTGTAAAATGCAAGTATAGGGTGTATTAGGTCAAAAACATTTTCAACAGCACTGTTGATTCATTATTATATAACAATTATTCGCTGAAGGCCCGTCTCAGGGATCATTCAACAATATTAACTAATCCTGAGGGGAACAATGTTTTAGTATGTACACACGAGGTGATCTTAGCAGAATGAGAAAGGAAACCATTAAAGAAAAAATGATTAGTTTGATTGGGAGGTGAATTCATGCATGTAGCCGTTAACAGTAGATGCGCAAAAGTTAGATTTTTACAGTATCTTCAAAGGTGGCAAATCATAGTTGTAATCTTTTTGTAAGCTTTATCGTCAATGGTTTATAGTGTGACCAGGAAAACCGTGAACACTTGAAATATCTCAGGAATGTTTATTGTGTTATGACCAATCACAGCAAAGATCAGGACATGCGAACTAGCCACAAAACCACAAACTAATTAACGTTCCTGCTTGCGGTTCAGTTTTCTCACCCCTAATTGGCTTTTTTCTTGCAACACAATAATTACATTCCAGAAATATTTTTGTTGTTCACGGTTTTCCCAGTTTGATTGCAAAAGAAAACATCAAAAGTTTAAATTACTATTCCTTCTGAGAAGAAACGTAGAGCTTTATTTGCTTTCGTCAACTAACCCTGAATGAGAAACTTTTTTTTGTTGCTTCTTGCGAATGCTGTTAACAATGCCCATGATCGAGGTGAGTGTTGTTTATCTGCAGTGTTCTTTGCCTTGTTAACTTGCTGGCATGTACAATTTTCGAAAACATCTGCCTTCCTTTTTTTCTCCATAAGTTAATTTCTATTTATAGGCAAAATTGGTATTGTGAGGAAATCCCAAGTTCACAAAACAGTGACAAAGCAGCCTCGTTAATTTTGCTCTGTAGTGGTAAACATTGCTTCAAGTGTATAAAAAAGTCAGGTACAGTAAATCACTTGACAATAAATCAGGCTGTTGAAACACCATGAAGTCTTTTCTTATTTCCTTCAGAATCATCCACACTAGGATGTTCTTGTATTTGCATAAAGTTCTTACTCTGAAACTTTGGCAAAACAACCAATTTACAACAGCGATTTTGTTTTGCTTCATATTCGCTGCCTAGGTGTGATAGTTCTTGATATTGAAGTAATCAGGTTGCTTGAATCACCAAGAGCAATGAGTGTGTATATACTTAAGTCAGTTATAGGAAGTGACGTTTTTTGCACACTGATATCGCCTACATTTACATGTTCATTCATCCAGATTGCTAGACTTTTTTCAGTTAACACATTGATACACAGAACCAGGCATGAGAGTACTGCATGGTTAAATTATGAATGGGTTTTCTTTGTTTCATATTCATTAGCATACATTACTATATACAAAAACAAATATAAAATAAAAATTAACTGTATATTAAAAAATAAACTACAACATATACTTGCCTGCAAAAACTGAATGTAATTAAACTGAACCATTTTTGTTTTTAAAGAGAAACTTGGGTGTGTAATACAATAATATTTTTTTCTCATTTTATGTTTGTTGAAAAGTTGTTATCAAGAAGGTATTTTCTTGGCTATACTATCTAACTCATACCAAAAAACAACTATGGTGGACTTCCTTATTATAAATCATGAAAAATCAATGATATTTATTTGTCAATCGATTTGTCATAGCAATTTAGTTGATCAGTTTTCACCCATTTCTGTTATCAGTCGATAGAAATCAGTTGAGTGCTACATTGATTGACTACTCCATGAACTTAAAGTTGTTTTGTGGCATAGTAACTTTCTTTAACTCTGTTGCTATGCCTTCAAATTGACAGCCAATGTTTGCCAGTTTAGTTTGTCAATTAACTTTGTCAAATGTTGAATCCTTATGTTTATCGCTCAATATTATTCACGTGCCACACTTGTGAATAGAGAGCAGAAGATCATAGAGCAGAATGGCGCAAGTTTATTTATGACATGTACTTGTAAATAGGACAGAAGATAACTAAAGAAAACATGAAAAGTATAATCAGAGAAGATCAAACTTTGACAATTTCTTTGTACTTTATGAATAAGACTTGTTGATTTTTCCACTATTCTTACACAATGCTGTGCTCTAAGGAAAATTAAATGGAGCCCAGTGCTCTTAACCCTTGAAACCTTGAGTGCCCAGCATGTGATTTTTATGAAAAGACTAAGATTTTCTAGTTGCCTGACAGCAAAAGTTGGGTGCCAGGGGCCACTGGGTGCTGCTAGAGCACAGCCCTGTTACAGTTGAACCTTTCTACAGGTACTAGCGTCAACGTCCTCTTTACCATGGCATCTCTCCACAATCGCCACTTACATCTGTCCTCAACGGTGGCTGTTGTAGGGACATGACTCAACTGTATTTTGTGCTTTGTAGATCACATTATATGTGATGGTCACAGGAATATAATGATTACTGATTGCCTTTCCTTGGGCGGAGGTTAGATAAAAATGGTAGATAGCTAGTAAGGCATGTTACATGTACTACAGTACTGAGCTGGCTAAAAATATCACATATCCAGCAATCTTGGTGGAATTATAATTTGTTTTATTATATAAACACTCCTGAAATACCAGTTGAGCATATCTAATGTTATCTTGACATGTGAAATGATCACTGTATATGGCTACAAAATAAATTGTGCCTTTCACAGCTAAAAGATATTAAAGTGAAGTTGTTTGGAATTTCATTGCTGTTTTTATAATAAATAGAATACAGTAAAACCCCACGTAGAAGAACCTAGATTTTTCCAAGTTAGCCTGAACAGGATCTTACAGTTGTATATAAATGGTGGTTAACTCGAAATCAGGCTGTCTAGGTTCTTACACATTTTCATGCTAGTTACAGGGAATTATAAGTGGAGTGCAAACATTAAAGGCACATAAATCATACAAAATAGTGCTAAGTTATGCTCATGTTATTGTTTTCTATTGTGCTTTTTGAAATTATGAAAAAGCTACTTTGAAATTTCAGCCTGAAATGGCTCTTACGTGAAGGGTGCTTAAAATGAAAATTTCAGCCTGACAGGTTTTTAAATTTTAAGTTCTTATACATGGGGTTTTACTGTATTACATGGCTGCTTCGAGATATGAAATTTCTGTTTTTGGTTGTTCGCCGTGCTTAGTTGTTATATATTTTTTAAAACTTAATGAGAAATTTTCATCTCTACATGGCCTTGTAATATCTCCAGTTTACTAAAAACAAGCAGTAAGTACGTGTATTCATATATGTAAATATGTGTAAATTCATGTGTTGAGAATGATTAGAAGATGATTTAGCGTCCATTTTTTCTCTCAGGTGTGATAGTTAATGACTGCTTAGTTTATCAAAACTGTGGAGCTTCTTTGATACGTGTATTAATATTTTTTATTTTATTTTTGCTTCTTTTAGTGTGTTGAAAAACTTCAGAATGCTACTTTGACAGGATGTACAGGTCCATCTGAACAGCTGTCTGGTATGACTTAAATGGCCCTTAATTTGTTTTTTCACAATCATTCCACAAGTGCGCATTGGATATGAGATGGTGTATAGTGAATGAGGCGCATAGCGTAATTGTTTCATTAAAAATGCCCTCAAAATATTGAGAATTCTTCCCAACTTTCATTGTAAAAACAACCGATTTTCAGCTTGTTTTTAATTTTGAGTGGACGAGTACAGTTACCATATTTGGAGGGCATGGTATATTGGCTCATATATCATGATGGCTAAGCCAATCAAAGCTCTAGAATTGCATTATCCAATGATTCAGTTTTTAATAAAATGAGCTATGCATCAGGTTTGGTACTTGAAAAGTTGGACCTCTGAATCAAAGCTGTTCCAAACTCGCTTCAAAATCGAAATTCCTTGCTGGGGTAGGTGGGAAGAATGGCTGAGGTGTTCCAAATTGAAATGGGCGTTTTTATTATATTCAGACACCAAACTTTTCATGTACCTTATACGGTGTAGTTTAGCTCATGAAAAGTTAAGTAAATGCAAAAAATACTGAACACTGTTGCATTTTTGAGAAAAAAATGAAATAGTTATGAAGTGGGAGGATAAACAATAACACTGATAAAGACAGCTGCTGAGATTAATTCACTTGATTAAATGGTTTGATATAATTTCTTAATCTTACAAGCACAAGGTCTGCCAGTCCCACTTCACACCCACCCCCATCCCCTGGCGGCACTTATCACCCATCCCCATTGAAGGTACTTCCCTAATTTACTACTACTATACTAGTTTGATTGAGTGTCGTAAAGTTTTTGTTGTCAGTGATATTATTTTACTTGCTGTCAATAAATATTATGGTTGTGAAAGAAAAGCAACTTTCTTGTCAAGTAGAAAAGTTTGTGTTTGATCGTTTGCTGGCAGAAAAAGGCCCTCTAGAGGCTGTTCAAACAGTAAGGTAATAGACACTGCATTTTGTCTTTATGCTTTTCAGTTCTAAACTGTGTGCGGCTGCTGACGCGGTTTATTCCATATATATTTGAAGATCCAGATTGGAGAGGATTTTTTTGGTCTACTGTTCCTGGACAAGATGTAAGTTGTTGGTAAATGAAAGTTATTAGTTTGATAAATATACATTCATGATGTTTCCATTCATCCCTGCTGATGCATGGTAATTTTATGAATGACAACCTTTTATAACATAGCTAGAATATTTGCTTAATGAAATTCAGTAGCGCGAGCGTGCTACATATTTCCATTGCATTTTGAACACGCTGATGATGTCAATAAACTATACCTCGAATTCTTGTGAGCTTAGCAATCCTCCCAAGATGTCTCCCAAGTGCATTCATTACTCAGTAGTACATGATGAAGCGTTTTTGTAATGTAAACTTAACTTTTGAATTTGTTAACCGATAGTAGGGAAAAGAGGTGAGTGTAATGTTGTTGTTGTTGTTGTCATTTGTGAGAGATGGGCAGGCTATGATGTTTGCAAATCATTCTTTGGAAAGTTGTTTCTCTCAAAGAATTAGAGAATTTTTCGGCAGTTTTCCAGCAGTTTTCCGGCCCCTCAGTATGGATTTTACAATGTTTTTTAATGTTATCTTCAGCGACTTGAGTTAACTTTCTCCCAGTTTCCAAGGTAAAAAACACAACTGTAAGGTAAAAAAAGTCACATAAACATTGACGCGTACTGCTTTGAGCGTGTGCTACAACAATAACATTTTAAGTTAACTGCTGAATTGATCGCTTTGATATTAATGTTATAAAACATTTAGTTCATGCTTCAGCTGTGCGCATGTTGAGATATTGAGCACTTGGGAAGTCTGGAGAGCACTCAAGAGGCTAGAGTATTGAGTTGCTCTTGGCCAACTCTTATGCCTCTTTTGTGCTCTCCAAACTTCCCATGTGCTCAATATCTCAACATCCGCACGCTGGTGCATTGTTAATTATATAATTAAGCTGTTTCACATAAAATTTAACCATGTCAACCATGAAATCCCCTTTGGATTGGCTGAGCTACAATGCAGTGAGAAATTAAAGGGACCATTGAATAGCTTAAGACCATAAGTAAAGTTTTGAAAAATGTTTTGGTATCAGTAATGTACGTGCAAAGAAAGTCCTGTCCGATAGCCCACGGCTAGGATTTTGCTATGCATGGGCCAGTGATTTTCGTTCTTATCTTGCCCGAAGTGCAAGTGCTGTTTTTTGGGGAAATTCAAATCACAGAAGGATTGTAATCATTATCCTGCTAATCAAAAAGGGTTTTGGGGCTAGTTGAAATGACTTGTGGGCTAGTACATGCTAGCTACAGCTTGCCCGAATGGCAGGCTGAAAAACTGACTTTCTCTGCACCCTGAGTAAGCAATAAAAATACCAGTACACACTGCTTATAGAACTATTTTATTCACAGGAAGAAAGTTTTCATCATGGTGAGGTAAGAGTAAGCTGTGGCCTCATGATGCTCTGAATGCAAATCTCTTTTTGTGTTAAATTAATGTTGACCCTTCAGTGCTGTAACTGTTTGGCACCAGCCTCTTATTTGTCTTCCCTTCTACTGGGCCCCATTCTGTTGCTGAGGTGCCAAACTTTTAATACCCTGTGCATATTTTACTGGTAAAATCCCTTCTGAGGTTAAACCAACATCCAGCTTCTTAGGGTTAGCTTTTCGCAAGGGCTCTAAGCCTGGTAATCTAGGTTGAATACCGAGAATGGATTTTGCCTACAAGATACTTGCCTCCTGCTACCTAATATTGCTCCTACCCAACTGGGGGTATTAAGCTATAATTTACTGTATAAGACAAATATCTTTCAATTTATAGCTGTAGTGTAAGAAAAACAACTTGACAACTGTGGTACATGTGGTTGGCCTTCCTGGGTACTTACGATTGTATTTTTTTTGCCAAACTTTTTTGTAAAAGGCTACCCTTGTAGAATCAGACACTATGTAGAATCTATGCAAATGCTATGTCACAAAGCTATGCAAAACCTATGTTAATCAGTCATACATTGCTTTAACCAGATCCTATGTTGTTTCTATGCCAGGACTATGTTTTTTGTATCGAAAATGCTATGTTTTCGCTAGTCAAACGGAACCTACTTAAAAGCTATGCAGTTTTTAAAGGTAGGAATAAAGGCAGAAATGACATAGTTTCCACATAGCCTATACATACAGTTTACTTAGCTTGTGGAAAGAGATTTTAGACTTCATAGTCAACCTCATAGAAAAATCATAGAAAATAAATAGCCTTCACATAGGACTGAAATAGAGTTTACATAGTAAAATGGAACAGGGAACAGTTGATTAAATAGCTTTTGAATAGGGTTTGCTTAGAATTTAGATAGCCTTGAAATAGAAAAAACATATGAAAAACATAGCCTTTTTAAAGGTGACATATACTTTGCATAGCATTAAAATAGGGAAAACACAGAACAAAATAGTCTTTGCATAGGTTTGAAATAGGATTTTAATAGTATTTGAATAGGTAAAACATATCACATACACAAGCTTTAACTAGAGTTCAAACAGAAATTACATAGAATTGACAGTCTCTTACGTATGTAGGTTTCGATCTGCTTAAGCAAATGTAGTGTTTAAAATACGTTCGAAAAAATCACCAAAATAGTAAAAATAGTATAAACATATGAATTAGAATACCTTTTACATTGGTAAGAAATAGGTTTTGAAACAAAACATTGAAAAACTATAGCAATATAATACCATGAACATAGTAACACAAATGCAGTATTTTCATGGAGGTTTTAGAATCGAAACCCCAAGTTTAAGTTTGCTTATCGTGTAGACTTTTTGCTGATGTCGTGCTCTTCAGTACCATACAGTTTCCTTTTGACTGCAACGAATAAGTATCTGCAAACAGAAAAGTGGAGATTTTAAGGCAAATGAACATAAAAACAACCCGACGTTTTAGAATTGAAACGAAGGAGTATCAAAGCTTGATCGACCGATCCTTGTTCAGATACGCGAAAAGGGGAGACAACACAAGCAAATCGAAACTTAATTGAGAAAAACATCACTTACCAACGTTAGGAATACTTTTTGTTGAACCTGGCAGGAAAAAGACTGGAAATTGAAGTAAAAAGAAGCGTCTTCTTGTAAAAGCGCACGCTTACAGCTCGTCTTCTTTGACTTGAAAGCGTCCGCGTGGAGACAGACAATTTTCACACCTTTTCATTGGTTGAAAAGGCCCACGTGACGATAAAACGCAAAATACGCATGTGTTGAACTCACGGGCTTCCCTGGGAACTAGTGGAAACAAGATGGCGGACAAACAGCCACCGAGGCAGGTAGCGCTCCGCAGTTTTGACCATGCAGTTATATTCAGGAGACGTCCACAATCAAGACGAAGGATCGAACCCAATGTAAAAGAAGAAAATGATGCATGGCAGTATCATTTCAAGTGAAGAAACTCTAGGGAAAAGCTAGAAAGGAAAGTTAAGACAGGGATGATGGATGTAGCGATTCAATGCTTAACAAAAATCTTCTCACTAAGAAACTATCTGCAAGCACAAAAAAAGATTATAGTACATGATTTTTCAGTATTTTAGTTTAAAACACTGCTTTTTACTTTGAAAGTATGCTTAGCCTTCTGTAAGCGCTACCATCAACATGCCTAGTCACTTAAAAGCTATGTTGGAATATCACATAGGAAACGCATAGACTACATATATTTTTCATATGAGTGACATAGGAAAAAATATGTTTATGTAAAAGCTATGTAGCCTTTATCTCATGATAAAGCTAATTGAAAATGTCACATAGTGAATACATAGGCTGCAAATATGTTTCATCACATAGCATAGAATATACATAGCACTATGTAAAAGCTAAGAAACTTGTTGGAAATAAAAGTGAAGATCGAAATGCTATGTAAAAGCTATTTTACTTTGATGCATAGTGAATACATAGGATGCTGATCGGAAGGAAAAGCAGAACTTTCTATTGCATAGTAAATACATAGCTATGTCAAGACTATGAAAAGATTTTGAATAGTATTTGCATAGGTATTCAAAAGCTATGTGCTTTTCAAATAGCCTAAACATAGTTTCAACATAGATTTTGCGTACTTTGGACTATGTTGTTTGGTGTGTTACATAGTTAATACATAGGCAGTAGTGAACATAACATAGCTGAAACATAGTCTAACATAGTAAACAAATAGCATGAGCATAGGTTTTGCATATGTCTGGTTCTACAAGGGTATGAATTTATTATCCCCAATTTATGAAGTTTCTACATCTTATGCAATCCCTCAGTCAAGTTCTAGACTGAAAAAGGCCCTAAAGTGCTTTAATAATAGTTATGTCAAACAAAGAACTGTTCTTTCCACAGGCTGCTGAGGCCAGGCCACCTCTTGCTCAAACTTTGCTCAGTTCTCTTGCTGTGAGTACTGCATAAAATATCCTTTTTTATAAAAAGAAGAAAAAAACACTTTGAAAGGAGCATTGCTACAACAACTGTATTTAGGGATCAACATGCAGTTTTTTGAAACTCAAAACCAGATGTTTTATTTTATACAATGTATACTGAATAATCAGGGCTATTGAATACACTAAGGAAGTGATTGGATCCATTTCATTTATCTTGTATGGGAGCAGGAAATGGATGAAAGTAAGAATAATAAAGTATGTGACATTGATTTGTAAAGTAAATGCTCTAAGGCAAAAACTTGTCATTCCTCATTTCTTCACAAAAGCCATCCGCTTTTTGGTCCAACCTAGTATCAATTTAACTGCTTAATTTTTGTGAAAAATAATTCTGTAAAATGTGAAAAGATTAATTTTTCAATTTTGATGTTTTAGGATCTCTGCTTCTGTCCTGAATTTACTGTTTATCCGCCAAAGAAAACTGGACCTGTAAGTTGAGTGTTACTTGGATTTATTTTCAAATCACTTTTAACATGCAGGCTTCAAGTATAATCAGTGTTGTTTTTATTGAATTTTAGGATCAACCAGAAGACCTGTCAGCTATTGACAGCTGTGAATATATTTGGTAAGAATTCTTGTGTTCACTAGGCATGGAGATAGTACTGAACCACTCCTTCTTAAAGCATTTTCACATGACTTCACATCAGCCAATTGGTGTTCTGAAATGTATCGAAACAACAGCCATCTTGGTGCACCAAACTAACCCTTTTTTTTGGTGGAAATACTTTTTTGAGAGCGAAAATGCTACATATATAATACAAAGTTTGGTTGAAATCCTTTCTGTAGGCTAGCAAATTTGAATTTTAGAGACCTTAAGGTCGAGGTTTTTCAGCATTTCTGCCAAACTGCAAACATCAAGAAGTCATGAAACCAGTGCCTTGTCATCAGTTTTGCAGTTTGAGGTTCACGTTTGTATGGCATGACCAAACTCTTGAGTTATTAAGTGATTCACTGTAAGGTCTTTTAAATTGCACAATCCCATATTTGAGAGAAGGTCCTACTTTTTAGAACACTTTCACTTATTAATTGTTGAACTATTTTTTGTAGAAGCATTATTTTGAAGACAGTTTCGATCTCAGCTAAAATAGAAGTGAATGAATGAATGAAAACAAAAATGGCAGCCATTAGCTACCAACCCCGAATCTTAAGTCCCAAATATGAGCAGATGGATAACCTGAAACCACTAACTGTTTGCAGTGAGATGGCCAAACGTCGATCTTTAAGTCTCTCTTATTGTATTGGGTGTGCTGTTGATTGAGATGTAACATTACATAATTACTAATATTAAAGTGAAATGGGGTTCTTGAGTTTACAAGTTTTATGCATACATGTATGTGTTGTCTACTGGTAGATTTAATTTCACCTAAAATACACATGATTTGTATGCGCATGACATAACTACATCTATCTTTAAAACAGGTCAGAGATGCAAAATGTAATTTTTAACTCTTTTTTTTTATCAAAATTAAATAACAATACTAACAATGGGGAATTATTTGCAGGGAAGCTGGGGTTGGATTTGCAACATCTCCACCTGCTAACCCACAGTATGACTGCAACAGAACTGAACTTTTAAAGCTGCTCTTAACTTGTTTCTCTGAAGCTATGTACCTCCCGCCAACAGGTTGGTTAAGGTTCAAAACTCTTTTATCCAATGCTGTCTTCAACGTGAACAACCAGATATCTTTCCTGTATCTTCAGTGTATAGTGACTTGCTCAGTATTGCTCATCAGGTTCAATTTGTATTTCCCTTTTGGTGTGTGTTTAGTTTTGTATTAGTTGTTAGTAGATGTTTGATTTAAACAAGTGAAGTCTGAGCAGGTAATATGTATAGGTCATCATCTGTTCTTTTCAAAGTTTACTTCCTTTATTGTAAATTGTCGTGTTGTTTCAGACAGTACAGTTATGTACTTTCTTCAGTACGTGTACTTTTATTATAGCCTCTATTATATAGGCTCTTCAGTTCCCCACCTACATGGGACTACTTATTGCAGATACCTGGCAACTTGAAATTTTAGTGACAACCCTGGCTTACTAGAACATATTTAAAAAGTTTTAAAATTGCTGTTTCTTGAATTTGCACAGCTGAGAACCATTGCAGGCCAAATAAATGGCTTTCATTTTTCTCCTCTTCTGGAAATAGGTGAGGACTACAGCACTGTAGTTTAAATTTTGTTTTGAATGTTTACATTTTTAGTATTTTCCAGATGTGATGTGTAGGAATTTTAACAGTTTAGAGCCATTGTTATTTTATGTATGTTACCTGCAGTCTTTACTTCTGATAAGATTGCAAAACTGCAGTCAGTTTTAACTGAGCCCTATAATTTCAATATTTTTCCTATTTTACAGACATGCTCTTCCAATATTCACCTCTTTGTTAAATCTTGTGTGTTCCTATGATCCTGTTGGATATGGAGTGCCGTAAGTATTGTACAATTTTCAGTTTATTACACATTTAGGGAAACATCTCATTTGAAAAAGAAAATGGAGAAATTATAGTTTTATGGCTATGTTACTACGGACCTTTTATTCAATGAGTATTCAGCATTGTTTTTAGACTGTGAGTGGTTGTTGAAATGCTATTTGGGGTGACTATCTATTATAAACCCTGGTGAATGCAATCTCCAGCTGTACACTGACAAAACACATTTTGCGTTGTGTTCTCAAAGTTTTTTTTTATCATGAGTGATTCAGGATTGCAGTGTGAAAAAAGTTCTACAATTTAATTATAGGTATAGGATTTAATGGAGGCGACACTATAGTTGGGAAATTGTACCCATGTTAGTCATTTTACTGACAAACAGTGATGACTTACAGATATTTTCAAGAACAACAATTTGCCATATTTTCCATTTTGAATGTTAAACTTTTCTTTTCCTCACAAGAGGATGTGTTTTTTAGATCTATACTTTTCACAAAGATACACTATCACTTCTCAAACTCATTGATTATTAACGCAGTCAAAAGCTCTTAAATAATGATTGTTGGGTCTGGTGGATGAATCTTCATACCTAATGAAACACCAGATAAAACACCAGCAAGGGTCAATTTAGTTGAACCTTTACAAGTGTAATTTACAATTGTGGCCATTGTTTTGGAGTTTGATTACAAAAGCTACACTTGTAAAAGTTTTATTAAATTGACCCCAGGTTTCCATCTGAGGTCTAACATGTTTTTCATCCAAGGGAAAGTTCATTTAATATGACAAGGGGGGGGGGATGAAGATATTGAGGGGGCTCTGAAAATTTTTAGACACCCGAAGGAGGGGCTCTGAAAAAAATTGTTGCGCTAGGAGGGGGGGTCCGAAAATTTGTATACTTCAAAACCAACACATGACATCATCATACAGATCGGATGGTTTTCAACTCAACAATTTAATGACCTGTGCAACTCAGCTATATCACGTGGTTTACAGACATAACAAATGTAGTCTCAGTAATTATTACACTCTTGTTCATCCCAAAAATGCTTTAGAAAATTGTAACACAACTGTATCTCAAGTTTGTCATAGTATAAACCATTGAAGACAATAACGGTAAATATATTTAATACAGTCTAGCGATCTTTTTTCAGGGGAGCAAAGGAATTGAAGGAGGAGGAGGGGGGGGGGGCTCTGAAATTTTTTCGACTACCAAGGGGGGGGCTCCTAAAAAATTGAACCGCTAGCGGGGGGGGCTGCTAAAATTTCAAGCTTCGAGTTTCAATATCTTCATCCCCCCCTTAATTGTCATATTAAATGAACTTTCCCCAAGAGCAGACACTTGCATGTAAACATGTTCTTTTTGTGAAGGACAAAAATGTAGCACTGCACAATTTATTATTGATTGATTTTGAGAACACATGTCACAGCATAATTTCTTATTGTTTCTTTTGAGAAGACATGCAGGCTTTGTACTTTATCACTGGTTGCAAGCACCTTGAAACAGATTAAAGCACTTTACCTATGTCCTTGTACTTTCATCTTTTTCTCAGTGTTTGGAACCTGTGATGAAGCACTTGTTTTCCTTTTGGACAACCTGTATTACTTGACTTATAGTTAAATAACGAGTTTATCACACTGGTTTGTACATATTTTACATGAAGTCATTTAAATGATTGTATTTTTTGAAGGTATAACCATCTGATGTTTGCTGATTACCGTGAGCCCCTGGTGGAGGTAGCTGCTCAGTTGCTTGTAGTTTTATTGGATCATGAAACAATCCAGCAGTCTGGGGTAACAGTAAATGGCACTGATGCTGAGCACTCTTTTGAGGTGAGCTGCATGAGTTATTGCACTTAATTCACCTGTTACAACAGATAATCATCAGGGGCTTTGGGGAGCAGGAAGGGCACAGTGGTGAGGGTACAGCTTGAAGTAGCCTTGCACCAATAGTATTTGGATCAGGTTTGAGTCCTGGCTTATTTATGCCTTTAATACGGGTTGAGTTTGTTGTTGGCCCTGAGAGGGTTTTTTTGGTTACTGCACGGTTACACTCTCCTCAAAAACCATCATTTCAAATTTAACTTTTATCTGGAAGTGTTTCCAAATTAAGTTGGGAACACCTAGAGGGCCACAGGGTTATCAGTTCTTGGAATTTTAAAGGTGTCACCCTTACTGTATAATGTTAGTTCTAGATTATTTGTGGCATTTCGTTTTTACTGCCTTTAAGTGTTAATTGCTTCAACTAAGCTCTGCTCTCTATCCAGTGGGAAGGGAAGGGTGTTCCATTGGTTTTGGTGGTGGTGAAACCTCTGTGGGCTACTCCATGATTTTTTTGGAGGCTGTGTGATGCAGGGACCCTGGAACCCTGAGTGTATACCATGGTCAGCTGCATTTTTGTAGTCCTACTCAAGTCTTGATCCGAAAAAAGTGCTCCTTTCTAAAGACTTTTCAAGTCTCTCTCAAGTCAGTTTGCCTCTTTTTACTGTTGATAACTCTCCCCTGTGAATCTTCTACCTCAGAATTTTACACCAACATTGTGCATGAAAAATGTGCCAGGAAATGCTACAGTGTAGTGATATTTTACACCGAACAGCCATTAATTTTCAAATTAGTTATTTAAAGCTAAATACTAATATACTGCATATTGCAGACAGTTCATCAAAGTCACTCATTCAGTACATATATATAATAATATCATTTGTGTGCATTATTTTTGTATGATTTTTTTTTAGGAAACTCCAGTGGACAATCTCTTTTGCAACTATTTATCTAGAATACACAGAGAAGAGGTACTGACAAGCTATCCATGTTGAGTAAAATTTGCCCTTTAACTTCAGTATTATTTTTCTTCTATGAGCAACTTGCATTGGTCATTGTCTTCTGTTGTGTAAGTTACATATGTAATGTAACCACTAAACTGGTATCATTTTGTAACCTTGTAGGATTTCTACTTTATTCTTCATGGTATTGCAAATTTGCTCAACAATCCACTTATTCAAGTAAGTGAGTTTCAACAAGTTTAGGATAATGGTGTTGATTAATTTAATTCCTAATTGGCATGACTCTTTTGTGAGTTTTATTCCCCTCGAAACAGGACTTGCCTGAGAAATTCTTTGAATGCAATGCCAAATCTTTGACTTCTTATTATGACTTATCGTGGCTATAATGTGCACGTTAACGTTTTTTGTCCTTTTCAATTTCAGACCTACCTTCCAAATTCTTGCAAGAAAGTCAGCTTTCACCAGGAATTGCTGGTTCTGTTTTGGAAGATGTGCGACCAAAATAAGGTACATGTTGCAGGTTAATTTCATCCTTGATTTAAATGTATTTTCCTCTGTTTTTTGGTATGTTAACAGGGTTCGCACAGTCTTGAAAAGTCCTTGAATTTTAGGGGAAGTCCTTGAAAAGTCCTTGAATTCCATTTTTCCTTGAAAAGTCCTTACATTTCTGTGCAAGTCCTTGAAAAGAGCTTGAATTTTCTTCAACTTTGAATGTAGTAGCCTGGAAAGAATTTTTTGATGCTTTTTGGTTGTCCAAGACAGAATATAAATCGTAGCTCAGTGAATGTAAAGGTCATTTACATAAAGTGCTCCATGTTTTATGCAATAATTAACTATCAGTTTAAGACAAGTGAACTGAAAAATGTAGAGAATTTGGTGAAGCAAACAGTTAAAGCCTTAAAGTCTTATTAGAATAGACTGGGAATATGCATTTTTGTACAATCTGTGAAATTATATTCCTAGTAGGTTGTCCTTGAAAATCTAATGTGGTCCTTGAAAAGTCCTTGAAAAGTCCTTGAAAAATGGTTGCAATTTTTTGTATGAACCCTGGTTAATGTGTGATAATCTAGGTTCCAACAAAAAAAATTCCATGTACAGTAACACATTTAATTTTGTCGTTGTTTAATTCACTCAATAAAGTGAGGAAGGTATTGGAATTACACTTAGTGAATTGTAATAGTTTGTATTATTGGTTTGTCTGTTTTTTGTTTGTAGAAATTTCTGTTTTATGTACTTAAGAGCAGTGATGTCCTTGACATCTTGGTTCCAATACTCTACCATCTGAATGATGCACGGTCTGACCAATGTAAGTAATTTCCTTGGGTTGTGTATTCACAGTAAATAATAAATAATGTTTGTTGGGCCTCTATTTGATATTGCTGATTATTTACAGTCACCTGGTGACAGTAAAGAAGTATACCTGCCAACTTGAACGCCTGTGGACCAAACAAATCAATCTCACACATCAAGGATAATTTCTCATACCTGACTTGCAAAATCCAAATGAATTGTTACTGAACAAATTATTAACGAAAATTCAATTCAGTCCCTAAAAATATTCTAAAAAGGCACTTAATATTGACTTAATATCCTAACTGCTTCACAACGCGCTAAAATTGTTGCCCTTCAAATAGTTTTGAAGTGCTCAAAGGTCTTTGGAACATCTTCTGACATTTTCAGCATCATTCAGAAGTTCATTTAATTGTCAGAAATCCTCAGAAGTCGCTGGGACTTTTACGGAAATCCCGGTTATGACAAGACGAAAATTTTGTGCATTTGACTCAGAAAAAGTTGACAGGTATAAAAGAGAGATGGAGAACAGTAATGTATAACTTGTAAATACTGGTGGTTAAATAAGTTGCTGTCAGCATTCCAATAAGTGTGATATCACATGCTTTTGAGGCAAAAGGGAACTACTGTGTGATTTACATGTGTCTCATGGTTTTGAAGCAACAGAAATGTGTGTGATGTTTCATGGTTTTAATGAGAAAATGAGGCAAGTGATGTATTTAATATGCGTTTTGTATTTCCTTTGTCCAGCACGTCTAGGTTTGATGCACATAGGGGTCTTTATATTACTACTGTTAAGTGGTGAAAGAAATTTTGGTAGGTTTAAATCTGAATGAAATTTCTTTATTTTATTGTATTAGATTTGCCAGTTATTGGCCGGGTCACCGCAACAGCATGACGCCAATAACTGCGGGCCCGTAGCAGTCCCTCCCCCCTTGAGAGATGGGGGGAGGGACTGGGAGATCTGTTAGACTATTTGTGAACAGTATTTTTTTTACATGATATGACAGCGCTAAGATCAGGGTTCATGTTAAAGTAATAAAAAGTCAGTCATCTCTTGGTTAGTAAGTGTTATTTAGAGGATCCATTCTCCACTTAATTCTTTTATTACTTTATGATTTATTAATTAATTCTGTCATCCTCAATTGCAGTTTTCAGTTTTATTACTTCTCTTACTGTGCTTGTATTGTGTTCATTTTATTTGATTTTTTGTTTAGGTATGCATTTAAATAAATTATTGCCTATTTAATAATGTTAAATATAATTTTAATAGACCTTTTTACCGATATGGGGGCCATAGTGAATTAATTCGATTTAAGGAGTATTATACTGAGGATGCCCAGGGGACATGAGCACATTTTGTTTGTATTTTCGAGCACTTTTTGGGACATTTTTTCGTAAAGTTTTCTTAGAATAAGATTGTAATGGGAAAAAAGATCCTTGTGCCGTGTTTGGATGTAATAATGATCACCTTTTTCCGGAGAAATATACAGTGAAAGACCATATTTCTAATACTAAGCTAGAAAAATACTATCATTATTACATCCAAACACGTCACAAGGATCTTTTTTCCCATTACAATCTTTTTCTAAGAAAATGTCCCGAAAAGCGCCCGAAAATACAAACGAAATGTGCTCATGCCCCCTGGGCATCCTGTAATACTCCTTAAATCCAATTAATTCAATATGGCCGCCGTATCGGTAAAAAGGTCTATTTTACTTTGTAAAACACTATTGATCAACATATGTAAATAGGGCTGTATAAGATATTAAATCATTATTGGTATTATTATTTTTACTGGACAGGTGTTCGTCTTAATAAGCCGTACTCAGTTCGAGTACCAATGGACATTCCAGTGTTCACAGGAACTCATGCAGACTTTCTCATCATTGTAAGTACAACTGTACCTACAGTGCAGTCACATGTATTAATAAAAACAGATGTTGATAGAACCTGGCTGGGTAATTTATCATCAATTTCAACAGTGATGGCTACTATACGAAAGATTTTTTAAGTTAATTTTGCCATTTTGCAAAATAGTTTAAAGTACTTATTAGGAATAGTTTTAGTGGTAAAAGAGGTTGACGCTTTAACACTAAATATATGTGATTTAATTCTTGTGGGTTTAAAACAGAGTAAAACCATAGCTTTAACTCGTTTTAAGTCCAGTTTTGTCACATATAATGAATTTTTTTTTTCCATTTGTATCCTTCAACATTTTAGGTATTCCACAAGATCATAACTAATGGTCATCAGAGACTGCAACCATTGTTTGACTGTCTGCTAACTATTATTGTAAATGGTAAGATGACAATTTAAACTTTCAAGGTGTTTATCACTTCTGTATATACAGTACTAATCTTGGTGGATATTTTATACCATGCTTATCAGGCGCGGATTCAGGATAAATATTGATCGATTCCCTGAGAATGAGCGCCGAAGGCGCAAGGGTCTGGTGGGATGCGGGGGCATGCTCCCGCAGGAAATGTCCTGGGTTTCTGAACCATTCAGACAGGATTTTGGTCAATTCAATTCTCCTTGGATAACGCCCTACAAATCGGCGGATTTTTTCATCTCTCGATTTCAACTTGGAGAGGTTTTTCATATTAAAAATATATTTATCATGGAAACTCTGACTGATTTCCGTAAAACGGTGGAAACCGGTGTGCATCCGCGCCCGCTTATTTCCTTATTTCCATGTTAATCATCTTTTCATTGTGCCCTTCCACTCAGCCTGCGCTACTTAATAATAATTTTGACTGTTTTTAGCATTTTAAGAGAGGAAGCATCATTACCAGCTTGTTCTTTCTGAAACAAAAAGAATTTGTTTATTTGATTTGTTGTTGTTGTGTCCTGGCAATTGATTTGATACTATAAAGATCCTTGTATTCTGACCTCAGGTTTGTATAAAAAAATCAATGTCTGTCTTTCCTTTCTAGTTTCTCCTTATTTAAAATCCTTGTCAATGGTGGCTGCAAACAAACTCCTTCATCTTCTGGAGGTACGTAAACTGGAGCCTTCGTGTTTGATCTCACTATTGGACATTCAAACTTATAAGCACTCAGACCTGTTATGTCCTATGAGTTCCCTAAGCGGGCACCCCTCCCCTTAAGGGTGGAACTTGATCTTGGGGCCTCTGGTTACAAGGTCAGTGCTCTAACCACTTGGTCATCCTGCCTCCAATGGATTACTATGACATCTGGCCATGCATTAAAATAGTGGCCAATATGGGAGGTTTCAAACAATAAAAACGTTTAACAGTCACTTCAAAAAGTGGCTGTGGTCTCTTTGTACAGCGTTGATTTAAGACAAGTGTCACCCTGTTTAGTCATTTGAGGGAGACAATTCAGGGGTTTTGGCTGTGTGGTCACTTACAAGATGGTTAACTGACTCACAGGAGTTAGAGGGTGACCAAAGTAAATTTTCCGATCAAAATATTATTGATGAAAGTTAAGTCTAATTTGTTGTTCCTTGCAGGCATTTTCCACTCCGTGGTTTCTCTTTTCCAATGCAACTAATCATCACTTGGTGTTCTTTTTGCTGGAAATATTCAATAATATTATTCAGTATCAGTTTGATGGTATGTGATTAAAGAATATTGTTATGTTCATTCAAAGGCTAGATAGGTTGTCAAATGCCTATAATATTTCTTAATCCAATTTGTATAGGTAATAGCATGATTAGTAGTGATATTTGGCGTAAATACCACGAGTGATATTTTGAAATTGTTATACGTAATTTCACGAGCTATTAGGCGACTGAAATTTGAGACAATTTTGAAATATCACGAGTGGTATTTATGCCAAATATCACAACAAATCTTGCTATTATTTGTTTATACTACTACCTGCAAAAGGTTTGTAATTTTCACATGTAGGTATTTCAAATGAAGCTGAAATACCACTTCTCTCAGCCAATCAAATTGTAGAAATTTCTCATGTAGTAGTATAATGAAAGTTAACTCAAGATTTCATTTCTTTCAATGACGGTGTTTCCAAATAAAACATTACAGTCAAACCTCCATGCCACTAATGGCCACCTCTCCACAACGGCCTTTTTTTTGGTGGACAGTCCATACATTGACAGATTTCATTTCTTTCAATTACGGTGTTTCCAAATAAAAAAAATTACGGTCAAACCTCCGCTAATGGCCACCTCTCTACAACGGCCACTTTCTTCCCTTCCCAAGGTGGCCGTTGTGGAGAAGTTCAAATGTAGATACATGATGATGCATGATGAATGTTACATTAAGACACCACCTAACTAAGTCAAGACTCAGGGGCTAAAAAATGAAATTGCATAATTATTGATTGTTATTTGCAGACGGGGGTAGCACTAAGTGCTGGGGGCTGTGGCTACTACAGTTGAGCATCCACTAATGACCACCTCTCTACAACGGCCATTTTTTTTTGAGGGGGGGAAGGGGACAGTCCATACATTCTCTCTTGTTTCAACCTCTCTACGATGACCACTTTCTTTTGTCCCCTAGGTGGCCATTGTAGAGAGCATGACCCTGAGCTACTAGGAACCCAAAAAGAACTTCCTCGCTGTTCAGTTCTCTGACTAATAATTTTATATACTATGTCTGTCTCTGTTTTTCTAGGGAATTCTCATCTTGTTTATGCGATTATAAGGAAGAGAAATATCTTCCACCAGGTAAGTTCATTATCAGTTTACTGGGGTTGAGACTGTGGAAGATGGGGTGAAACCTTAGTAGTAGCCAGGAGTAAGGTCTAGAATACATGGTGATGATGGATTTCTTCGTTAATAAGTCATGTACGTATCTAAGAAGACATCCATACCAATGCAATTATTTTTAATACAAAACTTTTATTCATAGATGCTAACGTTCAAGTATTGGATTAAAATATATACCCTATGTACATTCTTCTTGTGTGTACGAAAAGAATTGCAAGAACAAAAAATAATAATTCAAACTGAGTGATGTGGATATATTGGCCTTTGTTACCTCCCTATACCTGGGATGATTCTAACCCCCACGCTAATGTGCTTGATATAATAATAATAATAATAATAATAATAATAATAATAATAATAATAATAATAATAATAATAATAATAATAATAATATATATTATTGTTATTGGTTGTTGTTGTTGTTGCTATTAAAGTAGTTTAATTTTTTGTGTGTAATGTTTTAGTTAGCAAACCTTCCAACTGATCCAGCAACTGTTCAGAAACCAAGAAGATCAAGAATAACTTCTCAAGGTTCCGAAAAGTAAGTTCATTAGTATTTATCCTTTTCCTGAAACACATTCAGGATAAATTTTTGTGACAGATGTACATTGTTCATATTGGTTGGTACAGGGGCCAGATGAGCAAATGTTTGTTTGTTTTGATAGCTGTCGTAAGTTCCTCTCTTTGGAAAAAGTGAACTTAGCTTGTCCACTTGAATATGGACCACCCTCTCCCTTCATCCCAAAAGGTTTTGTTTGTGTTCAGTTGGAAAAGTGTTGCTTAGATTGCCGTTGTGTCGTTTTGCAGGGATGCCCCTACATCAAGTAGTGATGGAGAGGAAAAGAAGCCTGTAGCCAGTTCTTCAGCATCTGGTCACATGCCTGAAATGTCTGCAGACAGTAAGCTCATGCCATTGCAACATTCTGAATGTTCAGTGTTAAAGGGGTCTTTGGACAGTGACGTGGTTGAATGAAATGAAATTACATACCAAATGTAAAAAAATTTCAAATTTCTTTGTGTAAAATCCTAAGAAGTAAATAGTTCTATGCTAAACTTCTGAAAAAGGGATTTCATTTGAATGGTAACATCACAGGATATCGTCTACAGGTTACAAAGTCATAGTGGTGACGAATAATCTCTCCATAACCTTGGTCTAGGAGTGAAGGGGTTGACTCGCATGCAATAGGCAAATTGACAAAGAACAACTGCGTCGCCGTCTGACCTGATTTGTTTTCCTGTATAGTGTCTGTGAAAGAAATGCGTAGTCCTGGCAGTGATTCAGAGTCCAGTGATGTAGAGGCGCGCTCCACAGGGGAGGTGACCCCACCCAGCACCCCTGGAACATTACGTACAGAGAAGAAATCCATTGGACGGTCTGCATCTGTCTCTAGCTCTGGACCTTTTGTTGCGACACCTGAATGGGTACTACTTATTTTATTTTTCTTTCTCTTCATACTTAGTTGTTTCTTTTTTCCCTCAACCTTATTAACAGTTTGGAGAGAAAACAAAGGATATTGCTAACCTGAAAGGAGTTTGAATACAAGATAGTAATTTTGTAACATATTGCTAACTTGAGCTTAGCATTCCGTCGGGAATTATTGGTTTATCTTCTGCCGTTCCTTGTTTTAAGCACCCGTTAAAAACACCACCTTACACTGTATTACGGCTACCTATTCAAGAAACAATTACTTCTTTTTCAATCAAACAAAGGACGTGAAGAATAGTTGTATGGAACTGAAATTCCAATTAATTAGGCTGCTTTAGCAACAGAACGGGAACGTCATTTGACGACGGAAAAGCGCGCGAAAAGGACTAAACTCGACTTCCGGTGCCGAATTTGCCGCTCTGCCATTGGTCAAGCCAGTTGTTTGATTTGCGCGCGCCGTCGTCAACTAACGCTCCCGTTCTGTTGCTAAATCAGCCTAATATGCAAGACAACGTTTACCCCTGGGCCTATTAATTGAGCTACATTTCCATGATAGAAGACCCACTATTAGTTACGGATTAACTCAATGTTTAGCAGTTAAAGAACTATTTGTTATTTTCACATTATTTTGCAGGTACAATCTTGGAAACAGAAGCTTCCACTTCAGACTATAATGCGAATGCTACAAGTGTTGGTCCCTCAGGTAGAGAAGATTTGTATTGACAAGTAAGTTGGCTTTAAACTCATTTTGATTTCATTTCAACATGATTGCGCAGCTGTCCTTCAAGCATATTAACTTCAAGTAGCTGTAGTTAACTGCGGTATAGCGGTACAGTTGAAGTTCTCCTTTTGGTTACCTCTGTAATTACGGACGTCCCTGTAATAGTCACGTTAGCTTTTCCCCAAGTGTCCATATTAAAGGTCTTGACGTTAGATTATATTTTTGAATGCGCTAGCTTTTCTGTCCGGATTCAAAATTTCCACGTCCACACGTATCCGTATTCAAATAGAATTTGCTCGTCCACACGTATCCGACACATATCCGGATTCACTCTAGTACCCAGGACTCTTATGGGAATATTGGCAACAGAGCATGCGTCGTAAAGATGGGTAAGAGAGAGACCCTGGGAACAAGGTTGCCATCTTGAATACAGTATTCACGGTAATCTTGTTACGTCACCGCATAAAAAAATATCCGGAAAGAAAAGTTGCGGATTCAAAAATTTCCTGATACATGTGGACGTGGCCTAAAACTATGACCAGTAAAAGCTGCGCGTGTAAAGTTAGCTTCTACCCAGCTGTTATTTGTCGCGTCACGCTGACCTAGTCCTTTGATGGCATCTTCCCAGGCTATCCGGTCAATGCATACCACGTGACCTTAAACGTATCAGACAAGGCAAGAGTCACGAAATGTTTCTTTCAATAGAGTGTTTTCACTCACGTGGACAGCATATATGCAAATTTATTGTAACAAAAGAAAGCGTTTGCATAAGAAAAGAGTTTAACTCCCAGGGGACTGGTTTGAGACAGCAACATGGCCGCTGTTTCATTGTTTTGGGACACCAATATGGCCGCCGTGACGTCATGTGAAAACACTCTATACCCTGGGTACCAGAGGTTTTTCTTTCGTGTGCGACGTGCGGTGAGAAGCTTCATCGGTTACAGGCCGAAGCCACGAGCGGCGAGGTCACTAAGTTGCGCAAGGAAAGCCTCTGGCACCGAGGATGTCCTCGCAACCGTTTACAAACATTCGATGGAGAAAAAGTAAATGTGTGATATGCGAAGCCCGCCTTGATGAAGTAAGCTATTAAGTTGAACAAGAAACCTAACCTGTACACCCCTGCTCTGTTCAATTTACCTTTCGCCTTATCTTAGCACACCGTCAACACTCTCAGCTCTCCTTTTGGAGAATAACATCATGAGAATTCACTCGCGTGTGGTACTCTAAAGGAGACACTGCCCACTCGCGCGTTTTTTCGGGGATCGTTTCGCTTGCCCCTCGAAATGGGAAACCTTGTTCGCAGGTGATTTACAAATGGGTGAAACAATTTATGAAGACTTGAGATGAAGCCTTCAAGTTTAAGATATGATCCAGGCGGTGTTGAAATCAGATTATCCAACTGGAGAATCGTTGAGATGAAAAAAACGTGCGGCAAGCTGCTTGGGACGGTGTCCCATCCAGGAAAGAAATATATATGTATTTGCAGTTAATTGGTGGTAAGTTTTTTTATTATACATGTGTTGGGTGTGTTTTCAGGGGCTTGACGGATGAGTCTGAGATTATCAAGTTCCTTCAACATGGTACTCTGGTTGGGCTTCTACCAGTTCCACACCCAATATTGATCAGAAAGTATCAGGTAAAAATTAGTAGTGTCATGCTACTTCAGATGTTCAAGGAATATCTTCAAAATTTTACAATTTTTTTCTTCTTCTTTTAAAAACAACTGCCTTGATTTCGTGCACATGCACCTTGCCACTTATCAAAATGAGCTGTTCAGCATTTTTGTCCTACTTACTCTATCCTGTTTAAGGTCGGCTATGTTCACACAATACCGGGTAGCTAACTTGCCCACCTACCCCTCCCCTAACCCAACATTTTGCCCCAAGTGAGACGCAAATGTTAACGTTGAGTTAGAGGAGGGGTAGGTGTGCAGTTTCCCAAAAACCTAAATTGATCCGCTAACTTTCGGGCCGGCACGAAAACCATACCGGGGAGTTAAGGGAGGGGTAGGTAGGCATGGCACGCAAACCATACCGGATAGGGCTTCTGTTCACACATAACAACGGTGATTTCGGCGCGGTTTCTGTAACGGACCGAAGCTACGCCGCTCCGATCTCTAATTCGCTGAAGTGGAGAGTCACATAAATTATCGGATAGGTGTTCATACCATACCCGACAGCTTTTCGTGTTTGTACGAAAAGCTGTCCGCTATAGTGTGAACACAGCGTAAAGCTAACTTATGCCCAGTCGTCTCTCCAAGACGCGGAGGATGATGGGAAGGGACTCCAGCGTTTTATGATAACGATTCATGAAATAGGCCACTTCCGAGTTCCAAAAACCCTCACCTTCAAAATGAGGCCAAGTGCATAACCTTTCTTGTGCAAATGAGGTTTATTTGCATGAGAATGAAAAATCATTTCCGTATCAAAGGCTGAGCACTTAACCTAGTTTTGATAGAGAGGCCCGGGCGAACTCGGAAATAGCTTATACCTGTTAAGCTGATTTTGTGTGCCCAAACTGAAACTGACCTTAAGTGAAGGGAAAGGGGGAACGGGACAATAGTTGTTGGTCAAACGTCCCGATCGGGAATATCGCGGCGAGAGGACACTTCAATGCTGTAAGCATATTACAGTTCCAGGATCTGTGGATGAGTGGTTCAATGACGATTTCCTCATGATTTGTTTCTGTACAGGTTGTTTTCCATGAACAAAGTTTCTGTCCGAAAGGTTCGGTCGGTATCAGCCCGATTAACGCGGGTGAACAAGCCGAGCTGAGTTGGCCTAATTACGCTTTTAATTCGATTGCAAATTGTTGCCCGTCCAAGAAGATTTCCACCGGAAAAAAAAAAAGCAAACAAAAAATTATACACGTTATACACTTTTACTGGAATGACTTCCTTTCCCATTTGTATTTTATCTAGTAAACTACCACAGTCTTTGGTTTATTCGACCACCATAAAGTTTTCCTCACATTGTCTTTTGTTTTTTATCCTATTTAAGGCTAACAGTGGTACCCAGATGTGGTTCCGTACTTACATGTGGGGAATAATATATCTAAGGTAAGGAAAACACAAACACACTCACGCACACACAGTAGACGGCCTAGACGTATCAATTGGGGGAGTGGATATTCCGCTATTTTTTTAAAAACTCTCTGTATATTTTCGCTTACAGCATATTAGCTTTGTTGAGCTTGTTACTGTTATGCGAATGAACGACCTCTCTCTTTTCAACACCCCCTCTTGGACCCCTAAAATTAAATAGACGCTCCGGGCGTTTGTTAAGTCATTAGGGAGCTAAAGCAACATCGACGGCGACGGTTACGAAAACGTCAGTTAAAAAGCGTGTTCGCGCTGCTTCAAACTTAATTGCGCCTATTCGATGTCGTTCAATTCGTCAAATGTTGGAGAAATTTTCTGGAGTTAAATTCTAAAGGACTGTATCAAAGTTCAAAAAAAGAGAAAAAGGGTCGTTGTCTTGTGTTGACGTCGTCCACAAAACGTGAAATAAGACAATTTGACGTCGTAGTCGCGCAACGACGGCAAAGAAATGTACAGAAAAACGTGGTGCACGTGCAAAGTTGTTGTTTTGGCGATCTAAACTTATTGCGTTTTTGCCGTTCTCGTTGCTGTCGCCGCTGTCGTTGCTTAAGCTTCCTATTTACGATACTGCTGCCTCCTTTTTACATGGTATGGTAATCCATCGTATAGTCACTCTTGAAGTCTTCACTCATGAAGCAGGCATGCGAGAAGATGAGGGGTCCAGTTGTTCAAAAGGTGGATAACTCTATCCACCGGATAAATCTCTATCGAGTGGATCTCGCGATTGGTTTTTCTAACACTTTTCCGTCGGATAGTGACTTATCCGGTAGATACATTATTCACCGGATAAATCTCTATCCAGTGGATAACACAATTGGTTTCCCCTTCTCCGCTGGATAGCGCTACTCAGCGTCTTGAAAAACCGGGGCCAGAAAATACTGAAACCGCGGCCTATTTTATTTATTCATTTTTATTTTTTTGCAGGAACATTGATCCACCAATTTGGTACGACACAGACGTCAAACTCTTTGAAATTCAGCGAGTGTAGAGATCATGAGCAAGAGTAATGAGGGAGAATACTCAACGAGGAAAACTAAAGTCGCTAATGGTTTTACGACAAATGAAAATTAATTGCATTCTAAGCTGACTGGTGTGGGTTCATTTGAATATTAATGTTTGGACATTTTGTTTATGTTCAGGAACCACACGAAGGTCTACAAAGTACATATTATTAAACCAACAGGAAACAGGCGTAAAATGTGAAATATTTATTAAGTGAAGTAACCTTGTCGTTACAATGTAATACGTAATCACTGTATTTATAACCGTTGTATCCAATGACATTTAATTGGCTCTTGAAACAGTGCACTTTGGTTAGTCGGTTATGCCGTAAAAACCCTCAGGTAAGAACCTACAGATTCTTATATAAATGGTAATTAGCATGAATTTTGCCTGTTTAGGTTCTTGAGTAGGGTGTTATTTTCTGAAGAAAAAAAAAAGACATTTTAGCTAAAATTATTTAGCGGTGTTCAGCTTATTCCTTATGTAAAATCTGCTTACCATTACATTGCAGTTTTGAGTGACAAGGCACCTATGTCTTCAAGGGGGGTCCTGAATGTTGACTTATCTTATTTGCCTAAGTGTACAGAATTTTTTTTTATAGATTGTAGAAAATAAGAAACTGTTTAACATTTTATGCTGAACAGGTTATTGTATTGAAGGGACCTAACTGGCAAATCTTGGCTTGATAGGTTCTTAAAAACCAGGTTCTTATTCGCGGATTTTTCTGTATTTTGAATGCACTTTGTTCAGTTCGTTATGTCCTATATGTCTTGATGTTACTGGTAACCTGCAATTATGACGAAACAAAATTTTAAGCGTCAAAAAAAATAAGAGTATGTGAGAGCGTCATTGCATTAAAAATACTTTATATAAAATGTTACCTAAGAACGAAATTTAAGGGACTGGTTCACGGTTAAGCGCATACTCATTAATTAAATTACTTCTTTCCAATTTATTATTAATTCTATCGGTTAATAATCCCACTCACATGTATCTCAGCGATCTCAGAGTGTATTTCAATGTAGAATTGTATTCAGAGTAACCTGAAGTGGGATGGAGGAGTACTAAAATCGCAGAAAGAATTAGTGGATTATGCCAACACTACCAACGTTGAATTTATTGTTGACCCGAAGGTTTTATTCCATGGTTGATTAATTTACCGCTGTTTGCAAATATTTAAGTTGATCAAGTGCAAGTGATTGCCAGGGGAGTGTGCAGATTGGTTCTTTGACAACATTATGACATGATCATATTGCTTGCATAGACGATACAGCATGTCGCGCCAGAAATACAGCATTTTGATAATTGAGCATGCGCTGAACCGTAAACCAGTCCCTTTAAGATTATATCAGGGCAATAGGCTTCCCGGTGTATCTGATGACGTAGTTGTAATCTGTCAGGTTAAAAACTCTTCTGCCCGAACATTGCTTTCAAAAAAATTCGTAATACAGTTGTAGCAATTTTACTCATTGAATTTGATTGTTAGGCCTCGGTTCAAACATTGCATTTCGCATCTGCCGAATATAAAAATTCGTTTGCACCGGGTCTCATCTCAGCTTCGACGATGAAATTTATTAATATCACAGTGTGTAGTCAAATGGTGACGTGAAATTATCCCCCAATTTCACGAGTGTACCATTTACCAAATATAATGGGTGACAAATTACGCTTACAATTGTGGGTTTTTGCCATGTTTATTGTATTGATGGGAAAGTCCACGCTCTGTTTATAGCGTAAATTTTGGCAAGTTCAGAATTTTCAGAATTTTTATTGAAAATACCTGATAGAATTACTTTGATGTACTCTTTTGTATGTTCAGGTTTTTCAAAGCGTCTTCATTCACATTATCTTAGAGGCCATCTTGGCACTGAGGTACGAAACGTTGTCGCGGCAATTTTGTAATTTCACCTGTGAAATTATAAATTAACGCTGAAATTTGTCACCTATGATATTCTAAGTTCAATAATATTAATAGAGTCTTCAACTCGACACCAGCTGGCAGTAGTCTGAAATGTCATCCGTTTCTTCGCCCCACCCGCAAAGGGCGGCAAGTGTCTCTCGCAAGTCTCTGTCGCCTTGCCACCCGTTGGGGGATAGGGCGAAGAGACCGATGACGTTTCAGTTGACTACAACTGGTAGTTGTCTCAGAACTTGAAACTGCAAAAGCAATTTTACAATATAGTTGACATGCCTCGCGTCAACCCGTCGTCTCTTGCAGTTTTCCGGTTATTAGAATGTAGTATTTACCAAATCAGTGAATAGCAATTTTCGCGCGTTTTCTTTTTACCTGTAACTCGGAATATCCTTGGCTATTCACTGTTTTGCTACCGGAGACAAGATAGCGTCTTGTTTCAAGACATTCTCGGAAGGCGAAATTTGAGAGAGAAATGAAGCAGTCGTACAAACAAATACCAAGAAAGCGACGAACTTTGGATTGTTGGTGTTTACTGGTAGGTAAAAAATTATTTTCATGCTAAATTTGCAAAAAAATCGTAAAAATACACTTGACAAAAGCACCGAAAGTTTTGCAAATTGTAAACAAAGTTCCTACTAAGGGACTTTTTTAATTTACAAAAAGTTATTTTTTTTGTTTTCATCCAACTGATTTGGTAAACACTAACACAAGTATCCCCCTCAGGGTCGGTGAACGGCGCTAGATATATATCTCGACGGTTCGCATCCCGGTATATACCAACACTATTCACCTCCCCTTCGGTGGATAGTTGGGTCAGTTAGGGAACTGACCAAACACGTACGCCAAACGACTTCAGAAGTTGGCGAAAAGGACGTTGGGGAAACGACTCGTAGGCGAAACGACCGTAAACCATTACAGATTCAAGCTCTCATCTGATTAGTTTGTTTTACTTTCTGTTTGATATTGCGAGGCTTTGATATTAGGAGAAAATGTGGTCAAGTCAGGATGCGAGTTAAGCCCTATTTATTTGGAGAAAACACGTTCGGGGCAGAAGGGTCACCCTCGCGCCTACCCGAGCCACCTTTGACAAACCAACGTTTCCTACATTTTCTTACAAAACTTGGCGAACCGCTTACACGAGAAACAAAAAGCTTGCCGGGTCACTTTTTCTCATGTATTAAAACGCTCGATAAAGTTCACTCGGATGGTAGGCTGACCCTCTTTCACGCGACAACTTTTTTCCATAAAACGAGGCGTTCAATACTTTAAAGTTTTGAAGTCTTAGTAGAGTTCAATACCAGAATAGATCCCCGCTTAGGCCTCGGCTATACGATGAAATATTAGAGAGATTTAATTTAGAGGAACGTTTCCGGCAAACTTCAGGTTCAAACAAATGTTTGATCATTTGGGCATACAATGTTGGACGAAAATGTTTGATCGTTTAGCCGGAACCTAAAATTGGTTTTCAGTCAAGCGAGCCAAAGTGTATAAATGGAGAAAAGTTAACCCGGCTAAGAGAGTGACCTTACCATCCAAAAAAGGGTGACGCGTAGTATTTTTCATTGACAAACTTAGCCTGTGTTTGTCGGTTTTTCTCAAGATGAGTTTCATGCCTTCCTGTAGATAGTTAGAAAAGTACGTGAAATTTTGTGAGAGATGATTTGAAACCACTTTAGGCACACAGGTTTTAATTCAAGTTAATCAGGCAGCAAAAACACGCAAGACTTGAGAAATTAGATTTAAGTGTAGTGAAGATCTAAACAACAAAATGTCTACTCAATTAAAAATGTGTTTAGTATTAATAGGAAACTGCTACAATACACTAATACACTCGTAAAATTATCATGCCATGGTCCTAATTTGTTTTTTTTTAATTCTGTAAGGACAAGCCGGGCCGTTCGTTCTTAGTAAGAGTTCTATAAAAGCCGAGCTTCAATCTATTTGTTTAAAAGGTCAAACCCCTTTAAGTGATCAACGAGTAAATTTCTCCTTACACAATACAATCAAATATAAAGGCGTACGAAAAAAGAATGTTCATTCGTACCAAAGAAAATGCATTGAGAATAATGCGGAGAATATGGGTTATGGTAATTTTTTTTCAAGAATAAAAAATATTTCAAAGTAAGTAATACACTATTTTATGGAAGCTATTATCAATGAATCATTTTATATACGTAAACTCAAAGATGGCTATGGTGAAAACGAGCTTGACGAGTATAGTAATAGTTATCAGTACACGATTTGAACACACTGAATTCACTCATATCTTTATCCAATTTAACTCTGTCTGGCATGGAGACGCTTTCAAACAAGTCAACCCAACTGATATAAATATCAAATTATCATCACTGTTGTCGGCACTTTTGTCATCAACTATCGCGGAAAATCTTTTGACTCTGGTGACTTTACCTATCTCCATGTATTTCTACTAATCGTATTATGTTGGTTGTTTTGCAAAAGCATTTGATAAGCGGGTTACGTCAATCGCATCCTTAGCCTTCTCTCAGAAGACACTCGTTTACTACAAGAATTAAAATTGTCTAGTTAAATTAACAGTTAAGCAGCTAGTGTACAGTTTTTAGTATGCACTGGTTCCAAACCAACATTACTTGTTTTGTCCATTTATAACTTAATTCCGAGAGGGTTGAAGATCAATCATGCCACTCTTAATGTTACACTGTACTTTCCTCCTCTTCCACTGCCCCTGCAGGATTTCTAATCAGCGGTTTCCGGGCCACCGTGGGAGTCACATGTGGGCTAGGTTCCTCCTCAGAATCTGTTTCGTAAACATCCAGTAACTCCTTGAGGGGCCTCATGGCATATGCACGGGGATGGTCAGCACCCTCACCAGGGAGGTACTTGTTGGACGGCTCCACCGCGGTTCCCTCACGATAGATTTCTTCCACTTCTGACTGTCTCTTCTTTCTTCGCCGACAAACCACAATTATAATAAGCAGGAGGAAAAAGAGAAACAGGAACGAAGAAACAGAAATGACGATTATTTCAGTTGGTGTGAGCTCTTCCTCTTTCTTTTCTGGCTCTCCGGGGCATTTAGGGAATGCGTCGTATGTACCATACAGTTTACACTCCATGATGTTAAGCACCTTCTGGCAGTAAAAAGCAAACAAACTCACTGAAAGCTTGTAGTGTGCAAGGTTTCCGGAATCAGCAACGTCTGCGAGACAAGACTCGTAATAAAACAGTGCTTGGGATACCAGAGTCTTACTGCAATGTTCCTGCAGCACACCTTCAAAGAACTGTTTGTAGCACAGACGCAAAGCTAGTTCTTTAAGAGTTGCATTCTTGAAAACCAAGCTGTAGTTTGCTGAGGGTGTCATACGTACACCTGATGGAGCCCAGCCTGGGGAATCACCGGAATGAACAAAGAACTGCACGGTACTGACATTAACCGCTGGGCTCTCCTCCAGGGAACTGATCGTGTCTACCGGTAAAATAGTGTAAAAGTGGCCCTCTGTTGTTAGTCCCATTCCTTCATCCATGGGCACGCTTAGCACCAGTCCTTCACGGTAATTATCAAACTTAACGGCCATTGTTGAATTGAGTTGATTTAATGTCTTGGCATACTGCCATACCTATTGATCACAAAAAAAGTTATTCCACTTTCGTCTACGCAACCACTAACACAAAGAAGGACAACTAGTACATGTAATCAACACGTCAATAAAAAAGAGGTAAAAAATATTAAAAAGAAGTGATAAAAGGGGAAAAAAGCTAATTGAAAATGGACTCTGTTGCATAGACTGTGAACATTCATTATTGTCAAAGCTGGCCGGCCAGCCCGTTGAGTCGCAAAGAGAATTTCACTGTCAATTACGACTTCTCAGTCAGAGCAGTCTATTCCAGGATAATATGACAGCAGTGATGGGTTTTAGAAAAAAAATGGAGATAAGACTGTTTTATTTCCAAAATGATCGGTCCGGTCGGCCAGTTCTGACTCCTGGTAAGCGCCCATATGTTATGCCCGTATCGTTTTTCCAGGCGTATAAATATCATCAGAGCATCGCGCAATTAATTGTCCTAATGTGAAAAATCAAGAAAAATCGTGAAATTGCATTTGGAATAAAAATAAACAGCTGTTGAAAGAACAATGTACTATTATTACTTCTGTTTGAAATATTTTTTACCTTAAACTCGTCCAGTGCTCCACGCATATCGTACTTGCTGTCCATCATGTAGCCTCGAATATACCGCCCAAATACAAGTACACCGTCAAATGAGAACTGCTTTCCAGTTTTGACGCCAAAAGTTGTTGATTCACGATGTTCCCCTTGCGCGTGCGCATAAGCTTGCAGACGGCCATCGATTGTTCTCCAAGTCACAGCTAAATGCGTCCAAACACCCTCTTGAATGCTTATTCCGGTAACAAATTTATTCTCATCCCAGTTTACCTGTAAACCATCTTTGCAGATGATAGCAAGACCGCCACTACCTGTAGCAGCAGAGAAGATTGCGTGAGTTCCGGCAATTCGTTCTGTCGATCGGTTTTTGCTTGAGGAACAGAAATGGCCAACATTCGAACCCTTGTTGACAAGACACACCCAGATTTCTATCGTGAACTCGTCGAGAACAGGCAAGGAAGAGTTACTAGCGAACATAACAGCGGTATTACCGGAAGAAAATTCTAGCATGTAATCTGCTCCGGAGAAGCTGCGCCAGGCATTCTTTGTTGTCAGGAAATTATCCTTTTCTTTGAGTATAAAATTGTCGCCAAATTTAAGATCAAGTGTCTCCTGGCTAAGTACATGTTGATTTACTGTTTCACTAGAAGCATTTGCAAGAGGTTCTCTGGTGGGGTCGGCCAAATGTAGCGCAAGGCTTTTGTTGCTATACTCTCGTATCCATTTGCCCTCTTTCTCTCCACAGATGCCATCTGTCTCAGATCGCATAGATTTCGGCATAATAATTGCCGTTCCCAAGGTGCCGTTGTATGTGAGGATATTAATCTGAACTTCCTCGTACTCCAGGAACGCAACTTCCAGTATTGTGGTCTTCAACCAACGATATTTAATGTCAGCAATCTCCGTCCATTCATCTGAATTGTCAAGCTTGGAGGATTCATTAGTT